TCCTCCCCTCCCTCCCTCCCTCCCTCAAAATTTATTGAAAAAAGTGAAAAATGGGCCGCCTGCTCCCTCCCTCCCTCCCTCCCTCCAAATTTTGTTCTCATCTAATGAGAATGGCTTGTACTCCTTTCCTAAATTCAATGAAGATATTAAGCATAATCAATCAATGTAGCCTGTACTATTAAGATTGAATCCATGCTTTAAATATTTTTACTGTATACTGGGTGATAGACTGTACAGACAGAACATTCAACTTCAAAGTAGTGGCAGAAAATTAACAATGACATTTTGGACCCTCTTGTTGTAAAATTATGACAAACTCGTGAATTATGCAACCCGTAGACTGGAATGATATAAATACGTATATTAATCTATGCAATAAATCACAGAAACATGAAGCTCTGAATATTTGATGATACTGAATTTTTGTAAATTATGTCGTCAAACCTTATTAAAATTAGTTCTTAGCTGAAAAGATACCGAATACCTGGAGCTTGGATGATGATGAATGTCAACTCTATCACTAAAAAACTTGAATCGGGCATTATAACACTGTTGTCAAGGTACAAAGGTTTATTTAGTCAGATTTGACATCATGAATTCTGTTCACCATACATGATGAATATACAGAAATCTGCATACCTATATTTGTTGTCACCGAAAGTGACAAGAAAAGGTCAACAATAATTTATGTAGTTTCTTTTTCTCTGTATTGCATGGACTAATTCTTGTAGCAGCTTACCAATCTTTGAGAATTCAAGTTTACACTGCTCAGGTTCCCCTAGATTGTCTCATGCTTGATTACATTTCCAACTTAATAATGTGCTTCACATGAATAGATCGAAGCACTCAGAAAGCAGATATACAAAGGCTTTATAAAGTAAATATTACCATCCATTTCCACTTACGGTCCCAAGGCATGGCCGGCAACCAAACCGCATAATATTAAATATAATACACAGGTTACCTCGATCACTTACATCAGCTTTCAATTTGAAAATCAGGGAACAAATGAAATTCGACTATAAACACAACTGCACTTAGATATGCTTCTCAGAAACGGACCTACGACTAATAATGACATGGAACGGTATATTAGAAAATTAAATTCCCATACGAACTTCCAGTACGACAGCCTATGATCTGTCTAACCCACTCCATACCACTCTATCTATTAGCATTTCATGACTCCAGATGCCATTGACAGCTTACTAAAGAATTAGCAATCTTGTCACATGCAATTCACCTGCTGCTTTATCAATCACCTCCTTCGGATATGTTCTCCACAGATATTATTCGATTGTCATATGACTATCTTATCGATTCATAGTTAAATCAGACACTTACAAAGTTGACCATGCATTCTTCCAAAGAGGGAGCCGGACACTATTATAGTTGGAGAGACATCCTTCCTAACAATCTTTCGATTAGCACTTGAACTGCTCTCAAGCTAGTGTCTTGTTTCAAATAACATGAGCTGTCACACCATTTGACGCCTGAACTACCGTGCATTATATTGGCCGAGATTGATAAGAAAAGGTCAGAAACTCCAGAAACTAGTGTCCCACGATCCAACTAGAAATATTCATCACAGAAATCCTTCGCTGAATGAAAGGAGACGATTACAAAACCAATTGCAAGAAAGAAAAAGTGTATGAGATATAAAATTTTGCAGTCTCGTCACAAAATATAAAGAGAAGGAACACGGAAGAAGCACAAGATAGAAGCTTTTTGGCAATAACAATGGCTAGAAACACGTGATGGTCTCCTACGATCATCGTTTCATCTCCCGAAAATGAAGCGGTTCAAGGACAAAGGGATCCTAAGTAAATCTCAGGTTAATTCAAGGCTCCATGACTAAAAAGACATGATCTAATCACCTCAGAAAAAGGAGAAATAACACAAACATCAAACGAACAATACCAACTACGACCCTCGATTCTTAAACCTCCAAAGAGAAAGGAACCACAACAAATCCAAGAACGATGACCGACCCATCAAACCTCAGAATCGGTCAAAGAACAATAGTAACAACAATAATCGACACTAAAAAAACTAGAAAACAGAATCATCGGAAAGGATTCCGGACGATCGGAACCTAAAGACCTCACCTCTGGAGCGCCACGGATCAAGAAATCCCAAAGATCGGCCAGCAAGAAGCCTCCTTTGCACCTCTCCTCCTACCTCCGACGCTCCCCGTCGTCAACAACACGCAAACGACCGCACCGTCTCCGGCTCTCGCCCCATCTTAAAAGGATAGGAAGGATGAGGCAAAAGGAAGGAAAGACGGGGGTCCTTGGACGATTGGGAACAGCAGAGAGGAAGGCGGATTGGATTAGGAAAGCGGTGGATTGCAAAGGAAAGGGGCGGACGAGAAGGAAAAGAGAGCAAGAGGGATTTGGGGGAGAATTAGATGGCTTCTCTCTCTCTCTCTCNCNTCTCTCTCTCTCTCTC